AGGACTCCTCGTCGGAGCTCGAAGAGGTGGTGTCCACTACACCACCCTGAGGGATCGCTGCCGATTTGGCCCTTGCCGCTCGCATGGATTCCCGGGCCTCGTGGAGGCGCTCCTCCTCTCGTTTTCGCCTGTAATATCGGGCAACACGGAGATATATGCCCGAATCTAGGAACGCCCAAGCCGTTTTGAGCTCGAGCGAGGTGACCGACTGGGGCACCTTTACGAGCAGACTCGAACGTCCTCCCACCAGTCCCTTGTATCCAGCAGGCGTAGCCAAATAGGTTTGCAAAACGGCTCGACAATGGAAGATATAGTGGAGCATAGACACAGGGTTGGGTTCCTGAAACCTTCGCTTCCACGCTGCCCGAGCGGCCCGTGGAGCCTCCAGAAGTTCGGTAACCCTGACAGCGAACTCCAAATCTACCATATGAAGCCCGTACTCTGCCAGGCTCTTGCCCTCTAGGCAACGTCCCAACCAAACCTCCCATTCCTGCTGCCCAATGATACATTGGGATTCCGATTCCACCATCTTCGGCCTCGAAGCCCTCACTGGCTCCTCCGGATAGGCCGCTGTCACAGGAATCACCGGAGTGGCTGGTAGCCAAGCAGCTGGATGCTCTAGGTCGGGCAGGCCTATCGGACCAAGCATCGTCGCCGCCGGAGAGCAAAGTGCTCTCAAGGCGTGTCCTGGCGCACAGAACGCCAGGGATGGGGCATCGTAGGCATCTTCCATGTTCGCTGGAATCCCCGCCAAGTGCGAGAGCAACGGACGAGACCTTTGCAAGGCCCAGCGTTTCCGCATGCTCCCATCTGCGGCCAGCCTCCAGCCTCAACGCCCTCAGGAGGAGTTGGGTTCCCACATCCATCTGAACCGCACCAAAAGGAGGGCTCAGCGAGCCCGGCGAGATATTCGCCGGGATTCCAGCCCGCGGTGGCACAGGCCCCTCGACCTCTGAAGGACCCCCAGCGCGCAGGCGCTTCGAAGGATTCGGCCACTGGGTGCCCCAACTCTCCTCCCCATCGCTCTCCTCCGCTGCTTCCGTCACCACTGGCGACGGGTAGACCGCCACCGGCGACGATGGTCCCCCACCCGGCGGCTCTACCCCCGGTAGTTCGAAAGAGGGGCTCTCCAAAGCCGGTGGAGTAGGCGGATTCCCAGGAGAGCCTGGGCTGCTCAAAGCAACACTCGGGGTAAACTCGTCCCCGCTGGCACCGTCCATTATGATCTCCAAAGGGAGACCTCTCTTCACCACAGAGAAAAACGGCTGCAGATGAATCGTGCGCAGTGCTAGCGCAAACATTCGGCAACATCAGCGTTTGCAAAATCAAGCCAAGCATGCCAACATGCCACGGTTTCCTAGGTTCACGCAGCTGTTTCCTAGACTCACACAGTCGCTTCCTAGGCTCACGCAGTTGCTTCCTAGGCTCACGCAGTTGCTTCTCAAGCTCAGGCAGCTGCTTTCGCAATCCTTTTCCTACCCTCTTGTGGCTGAAGGGTCTGTCTTCTTCACTTGCCATCGAGCAAGACCCAACCAGCTGCAATGCTACCATCAGCATCGCTCTCAGAATACTGCGAATCTGGAACCTCGTCGTGGGCACGTAGCCATTGCAGCCCCGACCAGTGCTGTATACAGGCCCAGCAATAATGATGGGTGTGCGCAGGTTTGCGTCTGACGCACCCCTGCTTTCCGCACACTTCGCACCGGCACTCGCATTCTGGCTTTGATCCGCCCAGATAGTTTCCCATAGCAGGAAAAAGAGGCGTATTCTGAGTCTTTCTGCAAAAGCCGTAAGGGTAAAAGCAGGCTCGAGCACAGCAGCAAAAACCCACTGCGCTTGCACAACCATGTCTCTCATGAAAACATGCCATCGCAAAACCATGGAAAAACATGCCAAAAACATGCAAAGCACCATGCCAACATGCGACTGTTTCCTAAAATCAAGAGCCATGCCAACATGCGACCGTTTCCTAAAATCAAGAGCCATGCCAACATGCGACCGTTTCCTAAAATCAAGCGACATGCCAGCATGCACCTGTTTCCTAAAATCAATCGCCGCGCCCTGCCTAACGTCACTAGACTCTTCTAGAAGATCACAAAGCTCAATCTCCCGTGGTGCAGGCGCTCTTGGAGCAACTTCCGCCCTAAGACCCCGAAGCAGAAACCCAAAAGGAGTGGCAGCCAAAGCGTGGCGACCAGACTCGTCTTCTTCCGAGGTCTTTCTTCCTTTCTTCAGGATTCCTTCTCCAGGCTTCTGGGGTCCTGCGGTGGACTCCTTGCTCGATCCTAGCAGGTCGCGGTCCTTCAAGGCATCTATCTGATCTATCTCCATGTCGTCGATCCCTTTCGGGGGGCGTCTGGAAGAATTCTCTTTCCCCCGGCCCTTGGACCTCCCGCTCAGAGCCCACCAGGCACGCGAAGCGCCCATCAGCTTGATGCTCTTCTTTCCGTTTCCTTTGTACAATCGTGATCCCGATTTGGCTAGATAGGTTTTCCAGCCCCGTTCCGACCCGGTCCAAGGCGAAACAACGTTGAACCCAACATCCGCCACCAAGACCTCTTCCAACCTCAGGAAAACGTCACCAAAGTGAACCTCAAGGTCGACAACCCCCGATACGACGATCGCACCACCCGAGGCATTGAACAGATTGGCCGTTCGGTCGTACTTCTTGACAACACGAAATCCTGAGAGATGTTTGTCAGAAACAATGTGGCAGGTGGCTCCACTATCAACTAGCCACAGGTCCCCAGGAGTAGTCTCGAGGGCCTTGCAGACATGAGCTACGTCGCCGTACTTCAACATACGGGCCTAAGGAGCCCATAGACTCAGAACCTCGACTCTCAGGCTTCGGGTCAACCCGGCTTCGGAACTACTCAGGCTTCTCAGGCTGTCTCAGAACACGGCGTTCCGAAGAAGAGGGCTCCGAAGAACCACGCCCAGGACAGGAAAACCTCATCGCCATCACTGTGGCGCTTCCTCCCGACTCGGCCTCGGACTCCGGCTCTGTCAAGGAGCGTCCCTTTCCAGGCTGTCCCTTCTTCTTCTTCTGCTTCTTGCCTTTGTCCTTTCCTTTGTCGCCTTTTCCTTTGTCGCCCTTGCCCTTCTCGGAACCACGGGGTGTGCCAGATCCCTTGGGAGTCTGGTCGCCTTTGCCTTTCGGCTTTCCTTTGTCTCCTTTCTCTTTGCCCTTCGGAGCACCACCGCGTTCACGTTCTTCCTTTTGGCGCTGCCAACACTTGTCGGCTGTGTGTCCCTTCTTCCCGCAGTAGTCGCAAAGCTTCTCCTGCAAGGCTCGGCCCGAAGACCCAGGGACCTCACACAGTCGCAGCTGCTCCTCGTAGTAAGTCAGCGTCCTTCGAAGAGCTTCCCAGTTCGAGCTGGACCCGTGCAGTACCACGTACTGACGTACTTCTGCACCCAAGCTCTGTAACAGGACAGAGCAGCGATCAGCCTCAGACAGCAGAAGCTCCGGAAAGTTGCTCAGCTTCGCTTCAGACTTCGAAAACGAATCCTCAAGATGTCGAATCAAGTCGGTGGGCCTCTTCAAATGCCCAACGTGCTGGTACAACTTCAAAGCCTGTTCTCTCACGAAGACAGCTACGTGCGGCAGTCTCGGGATTCAAGTCAGCTTGCACAATCTCCTTCTTCACAGGGATACAAAGCTGCAGTTCCCGAACAAACGCTTCTTCCTGCAGGGCAAGCCAGGAACTCAGCGTCTCCATAAAGGAGTGCCAAGTCTCTACCTCCTTCATGCGCCCTTTCCCCATGCCTTGATGGTCTATCACCGGAAGGTTCGGCAGATACTTCTCTGCACGGCCTCCAGCACCAGAGTACCCGGAGGGAGACGGAACTTGCCGGAGCTGCCGAACTAGCGGCAGAACTGCTCGCGGGAGCATCTGCTGCCTGCTTGGCCGCTTCAGCTGCCTCAAGAACTTTCTCTTCCGCTTTGTTCCTTCTCTCTTCCTCCAGATCCATTCTCCGGAGCATCGTCGCAACGAGCTGCTGGTTCATTGCCATCATCTCTCTCTGCTGACGAAGCAATTCCATCATGAATCCAGGCATCTGCTCAGGCGTAAAACCTGCAGAACCAGAGCTGCTACTCGGAGCAGCAGCCTTCGGACTCTGAACAGGTGGAGCCGACGCCTTTGGACTTTGCACAGGAGGCACAGTAGTACCAGTCGGCGAACCCGCCGCTGGTTCTGAAGGCTGTGCTTGCGTAGGAGCAGGAGCCGGACCATGGACAGGAGCAAACGGATTCGCTCCCTGCTGAGCAGCCGCTTCATGCGCTGCCGCAGCTGGTCCTGGACCAAAAAGCTCGAACTCTTCTTCTGCAGTGGTCTCCGGCACAGGAACGTCTGCCATGGCTTTACTAGGAACGCACTCAGCGCTCCGCTACCATGTGAAAAACGCAGAGCAAGTCTCTTTTCACTCCACGCTTGAGCCAAACACCGAAGTGTTCAGCAAGGTCTCTTGCGGAGTCTCGCGCAGCAAATTCCGTCTCAACTTTGCTAAACAAAGGAGGAATGACATGCAACTGTCCTAACACTTCTCAGGACTTCTGTACTCTACAGGCACGACTTGGCCTCCTAGCACTTGCTGTGGGAATCAAGCCCCATAAAGCGGTCCCAAGCCCTGCGCCAGCAAGACACACTGCCCCGCCCCCCGGAGGGGTGGGTTCGACCAACAGGAAACAAACAGGATCAGCGGTCACGAGCACTACACTTCAAAAGCGGCTGCCTCTGACTTTGACGACTCCGCAGCGGTCACGAGCACTACACTTCAAAAGCGGCTGCCTCTGACTTTGACGACCCCGCCATCACCTGGGCACTCTCTCCCCTCTCGCTCACACTCACGCGCACACTCACTCTCACCCTCACTCTCACCCGCACTCGCACTCGCACTCTGACTCTCACTCTCGCTCTCACTGTCACTTTCAGTAATTCTCTCTCTCTCTCTCTCTCTCTCTCTCTTTCCCGCCCCTCCCTCCCTCCCTCCCTCGCTCCCTCCCTCCCTCCCTTCCCTCCCTCCCTGTTCCCTCCTTTCCTCCTCCTTCCCTCCTTCCCTCCCTCCCTCCCGCGCTCCCCCAGAAGATACTCACAACCTGAACGTGTCAAACACTTGATACACCATTTTTTTCGAACTCTGCACTGCGGCTGGTGGCTGCGCTAACTCTCAATTTCTAGACAATGTTGCCTTTTTTGCATGGAAAGCACTAGCGAAATACAACACGGCAGATACGGACGGCCTCAACGTGTCAAACACTTCACACACCATTTTTTTCGAACTCTGCACTGCGGCTGGTTGCTGCGCGAACTCTCAATTTCTAGACAATATTGCATTTTTGCACGGAAAGTACTAGCGAAATACAACACGGCAGATGCGGACGGTCTGAATGTGTCAAACACTTCATACACCATTTTTTTCGAACTCTGCACTGTCCCTGGTGGCTGCGCCACTCTCAGTTTCTTGACAATCTTGCCTTTTTTGCATGGAAAGCACTAGCGGACAACGACACGGCAAATACGGACGGACTGAACGTGTCAAACACTTCATAGACCAGTTTTTTCGAACTCTGCCCGTCGCTGGTGGCCCCGCGAACTCTCACTTTCTTGACAAATATTGCATTTTTGCATGGAACATCATGGAAACCACTAGCGAAACACGATACGGCAGATACGGACGGCATCAACGTCTCAACCACTCATTCATTCCCTGACTCCCTCATTCCCCTCCCTCACTCCCTCATTCACTCCCTCCCTCCCTCCCTCCCTCCCTCCCTCCCTCACTCCCTCCCCTCCCGCACTCCAGCCTTCCACCCCTCAGCCAGGCTGGAAGGCTGGAGGGCTGGAAGGTTGGAGGGAGGGCTGGAGGCTGGAGTCCAGCCTTCCAGCCCTCCTCCAACCCTCCAGCCTTCCCTCCAGCCTCCACCTTCCAGCGCTCCAGTTCCAGCCTTCCACCCCTCAGCCCTCCAGCCTTCCAGCCTTCTCCAGCTCCCAACCCTTTCCAGCCCCTCCCTCTGCTTCTCTGCCCTAAAAAGCTGGAGGGCTGGAGACCTGCAGAGCTGGAAGGCTGGAAGGCTGGAGGCTGGAGGGCTGGAAGCCTTTTTTGGAGGCACTGCCCGCCAAAGTGAGAAAATCTGACGTGGTCTTGGAAGCCTTGCACCGAAGTGACAACAGCAGACGTTGGCACTTTCAACACCTTCTTCGGAAACCCAACGTCATCTTGGGAGGCACTGTCACCCCAAACTGAAAACAGCAGACGTCCTAGCTTGAAACTCTCTGCCTCGGCACTGGCCCCAGAGTGAGAAAATCTGACGTGGTCTTGGAAGCCTTGCACCAAAGTGACAGCAGCAGACGTGGCCCTTTCTTCGCCATAGTCACTCATGCATTAGCAGTCATTAGCAATACAATTTCTGTGTGCAGTAGACGTGCACCGAATTGGAACGCAGCCATGATGCGTCCTCAGGTGACAGCTCATGCAACTCTGCAGTCCAGGTGTTGCTTGTGACGATCATCATCGTGCCATAGACCCAAACCTTGTAAGAGTAGCAATTCGTGTTGGAGCTGGCCAGTTCCAGTGGTTGCACACCACCCTGGAAAAGCTTCTTGTGCCGGAGAACCATGGCACAAGATGCCTCATCAAACACGATCGCGCGATGAACATCATTGTTGAAGTCCCGCAAATTGGGTTCCATGGACGATGCACAATTCAACTCCAGAGTGTGTTCGGGTCCTGCAAGGCTGGAGGTCGTCTTGCCGAGCTTCGTGGGTCCGTCCAGCACCAAGAAGCGTCGTCTGAAAGCATCCACCTGGAATTGAGGCAAGAACTCTTGTTCCACTGGTTCCAGATACACCCGAGGACGATGCATGCGGAGCAAGGCTGCCTGTGCTGCAGCCTGGCGTTCCTGCAAGTTGCTCTGCTGGGTCATCTGGACCTGTGATGTGACATTGTCACAATACTGTTTGACGTGCTTTTTGCACTTGAGATAGAGTTCCTTGGCCGATTCCGGAGACAATTTATCCCCTTGCCACATGCTTGTGATCCATTCTGGAGACACTGCATAGGACTTGAACGGTGGTGCATTTGTGGCATGGAGTATGGCACCTGTCTTGAGCGGAGTCAAGTAAAAGTGCCCCTGATCATAGGCTCGTTTGCAAGCCCGTCCGCGGGCGACTGGTGCTGCAAGCGACCTGTACGGCTGCGAGTTGCGAAACTTCAATCCAGGCTCATTTCGAAATGAGATGGTCTTGCCAATGGCATCAAACATAAAATGTATGTGTACCGATGGAATGGGAGGGTTGGCCGCAAGCGAAGCTTCCACATGTAGCTCCATGGCTGCAGTCCAGCGCGTGATAGGTGTGCTTGACACCAGCTGCTGCCTGAAGGCCGAGAACTCGTCCCACAATCCTTGCACATAGGGGTGACACTTGAGGCGACTGCATACCTCAGAAATGCCATTGTGACCCTTCGCAACCAGCACCGCCGACATTGCGGCATCGTCCACACGGCTCCACGACCCTGAATACCGAAACATAGTCCCACTGCCACGGTACGAACTCATGACATCCTCCTCCACCTCATGTGGGCCACGGAGGGGCGTCTCAGATGTCCAAGCCATGATTAGACGGGTGGCTGCTGCATGAAGCCGGGGTGGTACCTGCCCAGACTCCAGCATGGAACTCAGCATCTGACGCTTGTTGGCGGCTGAGGTGAACTCTCGTTTGGCCGCAGCACGTGCATCCTGACCCCCACGTCCATGCTCGGCAAGGTAGGAGGCAACCCACTTGTCTCTCACAAGCGTTCTCACCTGCCCAAGCTCATCACTCGACGGCGCGGCAGGAAGAGGCTGCTTATATAGCAAACGCCGGCGCTTCATTGAAGCAACTTTGGGCCACGCGCCAACGGCAGAACAGATCACTGGATGTCCAAAACTGTGGAAAGGAATGGAAAGGGAACACCAAACCTGTCAGAACCCTTGCGACTTCCACGTTTCTGGTGGAAAACAGAGCGGAAAGGAACGCAAAGGAACCTTCCAGATGGAAATCCCCCTAGTGGGGAAGGCATTCCTTTTTTCCCGCTGTGGGAGAATAGAATTATTATTCTCCCAGAGCAGAAAAAAAGGAACGCCTCACGGGGCTCACTGTGGCCTTCCAGCTACTAGTGGTCTCCAGTCCTTCGGCCCAGGTGGACGATGGCATGTCTTTTTCTTGGTGGATCCACGCTTGAGCGACCAGAAGAGCGTCCTTTGAGCAATAAAACTGGGGAGACAAAGCGAGCAACATGAGCAGCGCATCCCGAGCAAAATGAAACCAAGGAGGGGGGTAGCGAGCAAAACAGGCATCTCTTTGCATCGTGCGGCGCTTCTACGCTGTGAAGTGTACGTGGTGGGAGCAGGACAATGCCGAAGTGTAAATTGCGTCAACGCCTGCTCTGCAAGCTACAAAGCAAGGAGCGGCTGGACTTTTGCCCTGTTCAGTCACAAATCCGATGGAAGTCAAGCAAGCCTCGGCAACTGCACTGCCTGCAGTTTTCATTCTGAAAACAAAGCTGCACTGCACGCACGCTCCACAGCACGACACAGCAACATTCAGTCTTCAAACTGCCGCTGCACTGCACTGCTGTCTCTACCGCGTTAAAGCAACACTTCAGAGCACGACGCCACTAACATCGCTCTCTATCACGTAGCAGCACTCCAGACCATGACTTGTTCTGAGTCTGTCAATCTCAGGTCGCGACCGATGCGTCAGAAATCAGAAAAGCCTAGGGAACTGCGCTTGATTTACCTGATGCTACACTGTACTGTTGTCTCTAGTCAGTCTTGAAACTGCGGCTGCACTGCACTGCTGTCTCTACCGCGTTATAGCAGCACTTTAGAGCACGACGCCACTAACATCGCTCTCCATCACGTAGCGGCACTCCAAACCATGACTGGGACTGTTCTCAGTGTGTCAATCTCAGGTCGCGACCGATGTGTCAGAAATCAGAAAAACCTAGGGAGCAGCGCTTGATTTACCCGGTGCTACACTGTACTGTTGTCTCTACTCAATCTTCAATTGCCGCTGCACTGCACTGCTGTCTCTACCGCGTTAACAGCACTCCAGAGCGCCACACCACGTAAAACTGGATTTGCAGAGTCTCCAGCTATTCTTTGGAAGCGTGTTCTTGGCAGAAGTCTAAAAATCTCCGCTCAAAACCAGAAAATAACACCTTCAACCCTAAAAGGAGATGTTGGTTGGGAAACCCCAGATGTGTTGAGGAACCCTAAACCCTAAAAGGAGCTGAACTGAAAGAGCAACCCTGCGAAGAGTCTTGAATTGCCGCTGCACTGCTGTCTCTGCCGCGTTAGCAGCACTCCAGAGCACGACACCACGAACACTGCCCTTTACCGCGTTAGCAACTCAAAAGGTTGCAATTATGTCCTAAATCTCAAAAGGTTGATCCGATGCAATATCTTCCCAAATATGACAGCACGACGCGGCTACTTGCAAGAACGGCCGCAACAGCACAGAGAGAGGCTTGGATCTCAGGTCACGACTGATCCGTCGCAAAAAAAATCACACCTCAAGAACGGCGCATCATTGAGCTGATGCTGCACTGCGCTGCTGTCTTCAGTCTTCAGATGCACTGCACTGCGCTGCACTGCACTGCTGTCCCTACCATCGTTTACAGCACTCCAGAGCACATCTCAAAAGCTTGATCCGATGCAATTATGTCCTAAATCTCAAAAGGTTGATCCGATGCAATATCTTCCCAAATATGACAGCACGACGCGGCTAGTTGCAAGAACGGCCGCAACAGCACAGAGAGAGGCTTGGATCTCAGGTCACGACTGATCCGTGGCAAAAAAAATCACACCTCAAGAACGGCGCATTATTGAGCTGATGCTGCACTGCGCTGCTGTCTTCAGTCTTCAGATGCACTGCACTGCGCTGCACTGCACTGCTGTCCCTACCATCGTTTACAGCACTCCAGAGCACATCTCAAAAGCTTGATCCGATGCAATTATGTCCTAAATCTCAAAAGGTTGATCCGATGCAATATCTTCCCAAATATGACAGCACGACGCGGCTACTTGCAAGAACGGCAGCAACAGCACAGAAAGAGGCTTGGATCTCAGGTCACGACTGATCCGTCGCAAAAAAAAATCACACCTCAAGAACGGCGCAGTATTTGCTGCACTGCACTACTGTCTTCAGTCGTCAGATGCCGCTGTACTGCACTGCACTGCTGTCTCTACCATCGCTAGCAGTACTCCAGAGCACATCTCAAAAGGTTGATCCGAAGCAATAACTTCCTATTTCTCAAAAGTTTGATCCGATGCAATATCTTCCGAAATCTCAAAAGCTTGATCCGATGCAATATTTTCCTAAATAGGACAGCAGGGCTTGCAAGAACGGCCGCAACAACGCAGAGACAGGCTAGCATCTCAGGTCACGACCGATCCATCGCAGACAAAGCACACCATTGTTGAGCTCATGCTGCCGTGCACTGCTGTCTTCAGTCTTCCCCAAAGCACATTAACAATGTTCTTGCCAAAAGTCTGAACATGTTAGGACAAAGGCATCACGGCTACGACTTGTTATTTGCAAAAGAGCGAATGAAAACTTCACAGGACTACTGCCACAATCTCCGACATCATTTCAGCAAAACAAAGCAGCAATATTTTCAAGGCACGTGTCGCTGCATCTGCTTCTCTTGCAGAAAGCAGCAACAGCACAGGCGTTTAGAGTGCGGAAGAAAAGTTTGGAGTCTGCACAAACTTGTCGACTTCAGAAGAAGTCTGCAGATTATCAAGAGCATCAGCTGCGGGAGTGAGAAACGAGGGAAAAGCTTTCGAAAAAACAGTTTCTAGAAGCTTCCAGCTCCCACTCTCAGAGAACTGGTTGCCTCTTTTCTACAAGAAGCCCTAGCAAGTCTGCCTCGCTCAGCTTTCGTGCCACCGCCCGCGCTTTTTTGAGATTTTTTTGTTTCGGCCTTTACCACCTTGCTCAGCTGCTTGGCTTGTACCTGGAGAGGCACACAAGGCTGTACAAGAAAGGGCCTGAGCCTCCTAAGACACACAATGCTGTGAGCCTTCGCAGCTGCCCTGGCAGCTTTTAGGGCAGCAAGGCGTTCGTTCAGCGTTTCCTGCGTAGATACGAGTGAGCAGCTGCTCCTGTGGATGCTTTTTTGGCATGGCTACCTGGGGCAGTTCCACACGGTCGGGCTCTCGTGGAAGCTCAGGTCCCGCAACCTCGGCCTCGGGCGGGGCGCTTTGTTTCAGCAGGGGTGCTGTGAAACAGTGTTGACCTGCCTCGTTGTTTGCCATGCCTTCAGCACGGTGTTTTAAGGCAGGGTTTGCTGGAGCCAAGCAGAGAACTCAGCAAGCGCCATATTAACTGCTTGATGGCCGGAGCCAAAATCAGAGTGCTTGGCAGCAGCTGATACGCTAGGGGCACAAGTCGTTCCTGTACAGTTGCAATTTTTTGCGGCAGCACGTCTTCTCTGCATGCTTCAAGATGTTTAGGAAAGCACCGGCACCTCTCGCCGGGGACCGCCCACCCAGTCAGAAAAAGTCCGGGTCAAGTCGTGCCTTTTAGGCAACAACTGTGCAAATTCATCTGGAGACAAAGCTTGCTCCAGACTGGGAATTCCCTCCGGGAACAGCGAGGCAAGCTTGCCATGCAACCTTTGCTCGGATGTGGGAAGGCCTGCCTGTGCAAAGGCCTTCCAAAAGGGACGATTCGTCCAGTAGTCTGTACACGCTTTGAAAATTGTTCTAAACCAAGTCTCTAGAGACACGAGCCCATTTTGGCAAATTCGCTGCTGGCGGTTTTCGCGCTCCAACCATTTCTTATATGGTCCAAAACACCATAAATCTAAAGGCTGCAGGTAGGACGTCATGCCTGGGGGCACCGGCAGCATGAATAACCCCTGGAGGCGTCCTTCTCTTATGACGCCCGGAGAAAGATGGCACGAGGCCGCGTCGAAGACAACAATGGCCTGATATTGCGGGACGCGGATGCGAAAGAGCTGACCCAAGAGAGTTAGCAAGGAGACCATATGTCGTGCTGAATTCCATGAGGAATCCTCACGACAGAGAGTCACGGTGGAGGGAACAACGCTTTGCAATTGTTGCTCCAGGGTTCTGCTGAGACGACGCTTGTTACATATTAAAATCTGTGGCAAATGCGCTTGCACACTGAGGACATTTGAGACGAGAGCGACGTGGGTGATGCACCCACGTGCGTCTTGAGGTCTAATTTGAACCTCTGCGTGGAATTTCCGCTGTATCAGGCCAGGCGCAGCATGGAACGAATAGGCTAAAGCCGTTTCATCTATATTGATGTAGACTGGCTGCTTCGCGCTGGAGCGTTCCAACCAAGCAGCGTGGCGCCAGAAGAGCACGGCCTGCAGGCAACGAGAAATGGCTTACCGAAATTGAACCCAAATTGGGCCCCAAAACTGGAGCCAGAACGAGGCCTCATTTTGGAGCCTCGTTTTGGGGTTGTAAGTGCTTCCACGAGTTAGCCTTAGAAAGCAGCTCCAAAAAGAGGGTCCAAAAATGAGCTCAAAAAGCATCCCCGCATGGAGTCGAAAGCGATGCGGCCCCTCAATCCTCGGGTCCAAATGCTGCCGCTGGTTAGGAGGTATCGAAACGCAGATAAGTGCAGAACGATCCACTGCAAGCAGCTACCATAAGCATGCGGTGTTATGCGTGCAGGAAGTCTCGAGAACCCAGCACCCGGCCTTTGCACAAACATCTTCCACTGGCTTGGCCGCTTTCATCTTGCCCAGCCGGAAGGCAAAACTGCGACGGAAGCGACTGCTCCAGGCTCGTAATCCACGGGCATCGGTAGTTGGTACAGAGGACGCACTTTGTTTGCGATATTCTTCTGCAACTTGCTCTGAACTTGGAGCCACGCCAATCGCATTCATATTGCACACGAAGTTTCTGGTTCTTCGTCTGGCAATCCAACGCTGTGCAGTCTTGTAAATGCCCTGCCGCGAACCAGAAGGATCCTGCAGCGATGCTATGTCTTCCAAGCTTGTTTTGAGGTACAGCTCTTCTACATATCGTTTCTTGTCTTCTGCGTCTGCCTCTTCCATCCTTTCACGCGCAGCCTTCGCGCTGATATACTCGAGAGCCACCGCTGGGTCACCAGTAAGTACATAAATCGCCAATAAGACAAACACTTGACGGGGATTCAAGCCCATGTTGGCTTCCCGCTGCTTCTCGGCTCTTCTCGTCCGTGACAACGAAGAAATCTTTCTTCGAAGACATGCAACCTTCCAAAGGAAATCACACGACAGAAAGTAGCAACAATGCACAACTGCTCCCTTTCTATGTCGTCCTACCTACCAAAAGAAACCTCCTGGCGGATCCGCTGCAGCTCCACTGCTGGATTTGCGGCAGCCATGTTTCAAACGCAAAACCGCCTCTGCTCTGAGAAAACGGATGTCGAGTAGCAGCTAGTGGCTGTGGAAAACTGCATGATGCAGCACAAGCAATCAATCGCATAGCCTGTCTGAACACCGCTGGCTTTTACTGTTGCAATTTTTTGCGGCAGCACGTCTTCTCTGCATGCTTCAAGATGTTTAGGAAAGCACCGGCACCTCTCGCCGGGGACCGCCCACCCAGTCAGAAAAAGTCCGGGTCAAGTCGTGCCTTTTAGGCAACAACTGTGCAAATTCATCTGGAGACAAAGCTTGCTCCAGACTGGGAATTCCCTCCGGGAACAGCGAGGCAAGCTTGCCATGCAACCTTTGCTCGGATGTGGGAAGGCCTGCCTGTGCAAAGGCCTTCCAAAAGGGACGATTCGTCCAGTAGTCTGTACACGCTTTGAAAATTGTTCTAAACCAAGTCTCTAGAGACACGAGCCCATTTTGGCAAATTCGCTGCTGGCGGTTTTCGCGCTCCAACCATTTCTTATATGGTCCAAAACACCATAAATCTAAAGGCTGCAGGTAGGACGTCATGCCTGGGGGCACCGGCAGCATGAATAACCCCTGGAGGCGTCCTTCTCTTATGACGCCCGGAGAAAGATGGCACGAGGCCGCGTCGAAGACAACAATGGCCTGATATTGCGGGACGCGGATGCGAAAGAGCTGACCCAAGAGAGTTAGCAAGGAGACCATATGTCGTGCTGAATTCCATGAGGAATCCTCACGACAGAGAGTCACGGTGGAGGGAACAACGCTTTGCAATTGTTGCTCCAGGGTTCTGCTGAGACGACGCTTGTTACATATTAAAATCTGTGGCAAATGCGCTTGCACACTGAGGACATTTGAGACGAGAGCGACGTGGGTGATGCACCCACGTGCGTCTTGAGGTCTAATTTGAACCTCTGCGTGGAATTTCCGCTGTATCAGGCCAGGCGCAGCATGGAACGAATAGGCTAAAGCCGTTTCATCTATATTGATGTAGACTGGCTGCTTCGCGCTGGAGCGTTCCAACCAAGCAGCGTGGCGCCAGAAGAGCACGGCCTGCAGGCAACGAGAAATGGCTTACCGAAATTGAACCCAAATTGGGCCCCAAAACTGGAGCCAGAACGAGGCCTCATTTTGGAGCCTCGTTTTGGGGTTGTAAGTGCTTCCACGAGTTAGCCTTAGAAAGCAGCTCCAAAAAGAGGGTCCAAAAATGAGCTCAAAAAGCATCCCCGCATGGAGTCGAAAGCGATGCGGCCCCTCAATCCTCGGGTCCAAATGCTGCCGCTGGTTAGGAGAAACGCAGATAAGTGCAGAACGATCCACTGCAAGCAGCTACCATAAGCATGCGGTGTTACGCGTGCAGGAAGTCTCGAGAACCCAGCACCCGGCCTTTGCACAAACATCTTCCACTGGCTTGGCCGCTTTCATCTTGCCCAGCCGGAAGGCAAAACTGCGACGGAAGCGACTGCTCCAGGCTCGTAATCCACGGGCATCGGTAGTTGGTACAGAGGACGCACTTTGTTTGCGATATTCTTCTGCAACTTGCTCTGAACTTGGAGCCACGCCAATCGCATTCATATTGCACACGAAGTTTCTGGTTCTTCGTCTGGCAATCCAACGCTGTGCAGTCTTGTAAATGCCCTGCCGCGAACCAGAAGGATCCTGCAGCGATGCTATGTCTTCCAAGCTTGTTTTGAGGTACAGCTCTTCTACATAGCGTTTCTTGTCTTCTGCGTCTGCCTCTTCCATCCTTTCACGCGCAGCCTTCGCGCTGATATACTCGAGAGCCACCGCTGGGTCACCAGTAAGTACATAAATCGCCAATAAGACAAACACTTGACGGGGATTCAAACCCATGTTGGCTTCCCGCTGCTTCTCGGCTCTTCTCGTCCGTGACAACGAAGAAATCTTTCTTCGAAGACATGCAACCTTCCAAAGGAAATCACACGACAGAAAGTAGCAACAATGCACAACTGCTCCCTTTCTATGTCGTCCTACCTACCAAAAGAAACCTCCTGGCGGATCCGCTGCAGCTCCACTGCTGGATTTGCGGCAGCCATGTTTCAAACGCAAAACCGCCTCTGCTCTGAGAAAACGGATGTCGAGTAGCAGCTAGTGGCTGTGGAAAACTGCATGATGCAGCACAAGCGATCAATCGCATAGCCTGTCTGAACACCGCTGGCTTTTACTCTACAGGCACGACTTGGCCTCCTAGCACTTGCTGTGGGAATCAAGCCCCATAAAGCGGGCCCAAGCCCTGCGCCAGCAAGACACACTGCCCCGCCCCCCGGAGGGGTGGGTTCGACCAACAGGAAACAAACAGGATCAGCGGTCACGAGCACTACACTTCAAAAGCGGCTGCCTCTGACTTTGACGACTCCGCAGCGGTCACGAGCACTACACTTCAAAAGCGGCTGCCTCTTACTTTGACGACCCCGCCATCACCTGGGCACTCTCTCCCCCTCTCGCTCACACTCACGCGCACACTCACTCTCACCCTCACTCTCACCCGCACTCGCACTCGCACTCTGACTCTCACTCTCGCTCTCACTGTCACTTTCAGTAATTCTCTCTCTCTCTCTCTCTCTCTTTCCCGCCCCTCCCTCCCTCCCTCGCTCCCTCCCTCCCTCCCTTCCCTCCCTCCCTGTTCCCTCCTTTCCTCCTCCTTCCCTCCTTCCCTCCCTCCCTCCCGCGCTCCCCCAGAAGATACTCACAACCTGAACGTGTCAAACACTTGATACACCATTTTTTTCGAACTCTGCACTGCGGCTGGTGGCTGCGCTAACTCTCAATTTCTAGACAATGTTGCCTTTTTTGCATGGAAATCACTAGCGAAATACAACACGGCAGATACGGACGGCCTCAACGTGTCAAACACTTCACACACCATTTTTTCGAACTCTGCACTGCGGCTGGTTGCTGCGCGAACTCTCAATTTCTAGACAATATTGCATTTTTGCACGGAAAGTACTAGCGAAATACAACACGGCAGATGCGGACGGTCTGAATGTGTCAAACACTTCATACACCATTTTTTCGAACTCTGCACTGTCCCTGGTGGCTGCGCCACTCTCAGTTTCTTGACAATCTTGCCTTTTTTGCATGGAAAGTACTAGCGGACAACGACACGGCAAATACGGACGGACTGAACGTGTCAAACACTTCATAGACCAGTTTTTTCGAACTCTGCCCGTCGCTGGTGGCCCCGCGAACTCTCACTTTCTTGGCAAATATTGCATTTTTGCATGGAACATCATGGAAACCACTAGCGAAACACGATACGGCAGATACGGACGGCATCAACGTCTCAACCACTCATTCATTCCCTGCCTCCCTCATTCCCTGATTCGCTCCCTCCCTCCCTCCCTCACTCCCTCATTCACTCCCTCCCTCCCTCACTCCCTCCCTCCCTCCCTCCCTCACTCCCTCCCCTCCCGCACTCCAGCCTTCCACCCCTCAGCCAGGCTGGAAGGCTGGAGGGCTGGAAGGTTGGAGGGAGGGCTGGAGGCTGGAGTCCAGCCTTCCAGCCCTCCTCCAACCCTCCAGCCTTCCCTCCAGCCTCCCCCTTCCAGCGCTCCAGTTCCAGCCTTCCACCCCTCAGCCCTCCAGCCTTCCAGCCTTCTCCAGCTCCCAACCCTTTCCAGCCCCTCCCTCTGCTTCTCTGCCCTAAAAAGCTGGAGGGCTGGAGACCTGCAGAGCTGGAAGGCTGGAAGGCTGGAGGCGGAGGGCTGGAAGCCTTTTTTGGAGGCACTGCCCGCCAAAGTGAGAAAATCTGACGTGGTCTTGGAAGCCTTGCACCGAAGTGACAACAGCCGAAGTGACAACAGCAGACGTTGGCACTTTCAACACCTTCTTCGGAAACCCAACGTCATCTTGGGAGGCACTGTCACCCCAAACTGAAAACAGCAGACGTCCTAGCTTGAAACTCTCTGCCTCGGCACTGGCCCCAGAGTGAGAAAATCTGACGTGGTCTTGGAAGCCTTGCACCAAAGTGACAGCAGCAGACGTGGCCCTTTCTTCGCCATAGTCACTCATGCATTAGCAGTCATTAGCAATACAATTTCTGTGTGCAGTAGACGTGCACCGAATTGGAACGCAGCCATGATGCGTCCTCAGGTGACAGCTCATGCAACTCTGCAGTCCAGGTGTTGCTTGTCGATCATCATCGTGCCATAGACCCAAACCTTGTAAGAGTAGCAATTCGTGTTGGAGCTGGCCAGTTCCAGTGGTTGCACACCACCCTGGAAAAGCTTCTTGTGCCGGAGAACCATGGCACAAGATGCCTCATCAAACACGATCGCGCGATGAACATCATTGTTGAAGTCCCGCAAATTGGGTTCCATGGACGATGCACAATTCAACTCCAGAGTGTGTTCGGGTCCTGCAAGGCTGGAGGCAAAGATCGTCTTGCCGAGCTTCGTGGGTCCGTCCAGCACCAAGAAGCGTCGTCTGAAAGCATCCACCTGGAATTGAGGCAAGAACTCTTGTTCCACTGGTTCCAGATACACCCGAGGACGATGCATGCGGAGCAAGGCTGCCTGTGCTGCAGCCTGGCGTTCCTGCAAGTTGCTCTGCTGGGTCATCTGGACCTGTGATGTGACATTGTCACAATACTGTTTGACGTGCTTTTTGCACTTGAGATAGAGTTCCTTGGCCGATTCCGGAGACAATTTATCCCCTTGCCACATGCTTGTGATCCATTCTGGAGACACTGCATAGGACTTGAACGGTGGTGCATTTGTGGCATGGAGTATGGCACCTGTCTTGAGCGGAGTCAAGTAAAAGTGCCCCTGATCATAGGCTCGTTTGCAAGCCCGTCCGCGGGCGACTGGTGCTGCAAGCGACCTGTACGGCTGCGAGTTGCGAAACTTCAATCCAGGCTCATTTCGAAATGAGATGGTCTTGCCAATGGCATCAAACATAAAATGTATGTGTACCGATGGAATGGGAGGGTTGGCCGCAAGCGAAGCTTCCACATGTAGCTCCATGGCTGCAGTCCAGCGCGTGATAGGTGTGCTTGACACCAGCTGCTGCCTGAAGGCCGAGAACTCGTCCCACAATCCTTGCACATAGGGGTGACACTTGAGGCGACTGCATACCTCAGAAATGCCATTGTGACCCTTCGCAACCAGCACCGCCGACATTGCGGCATCGTCCACACGGCTCCACGACCCTGAATACCGAAACATAGTCCCACTGCCACGGTACGAACTCATGACACCCTCCTCCACCTCATGTGGGCCACGGAGGGGCGTCTCAGATGTCCAAGCCATGATTAGACGGGTGGCTGCTGCATGAAGCCGGGGTGGTACCTGCCCAGACTCCAGCATGGAACTCAGCATCTGACGCTTGTTGGCGGCTGAGGTGAACTCTCGTTTGGCCGCAGCACGTGCATCCTGACCCCCACGTCCATGCTCGGCAAGGTAGGAGGCAACCCACTTGTCTCTCACAAGCGTTCTCACCTGCCCAAGCTCATCACTCGACGGCGCGGCAGGAAGAGGCTGCTTATATAGCAAACGCCGGCGCTTCATTGAAGCAACTTTGGGCCACGCGCCAACGGCAGAACAGATCACTGGATGTCCAAAACTGTGGAAAGGAATGGAAAGGGAACACCAAACCTGTCAGAACCCTTGCGACTTCCACGTTTCTGGTGGAAAACAGAGCGGAAAGGAACGCAAAGGAACCTTCCAGATGGAAATCCCCCTAGTGGGGAAGGCATTCCTTTTTTCCCGCTGTGGGAGAATAGAATTATTATTCTCCCAGAGCAGAAAAAAAGGAACGCCTCACGGGGCTCACTGTGGCCTTCCAGCTACTAGTGGTCTCCAGTGAGTCTCCAGTCCTTCGGCCCAGGTGGACGATGGCATGTCTTTTTCTTGGTGGATCCACGCTTGAGCGACCAGAAGAGCGTCCTTTGAGCAATAAAACTGGGGAGACAAAGCGAGCAACATGAGCAGCGCATCCCGAGCAAAATGAAACCAAGGAGGGGGGTAGCGAGCAAAACAGGCATCTCTTTGCATCGTGCGGCGCTTCTACGCTGTGAAGTGTACGTGGTGGGAGCAGGACAATGCCGAAGTGTAAATTGCGTCAACGCCTTCTGCAAGCTACAAAGCAAGGAGCGGCTGGACTTTTGCCCTGTTCAGTCACAAATCCGATGGAAGTCAAGCAAGCCTCGGCAACTGCACTGCCTGCAGTTTTCATTCTGAAAACAAAGCTGCACTGCACGCACACTCCACAGCACGACACAGCAACATTCAGTCTTCAAACTGCCGCTGCACTGCACTGCTGTCTCTACCGCGTTAAAGCAACACTTCAGAGCACGACGCCACTAACATCGCTCTCTATCACGTAGCAGCACTCCAGACCATGACTTGTTCTGAGTCTGTCAATCTCAGGTCGCGACCGATGCGTCAGAAATCAGAAAAGCCTAGGGAACTGCGCTTGATTTACCTGATGCTACACTGTACTGTTGTCTCTAGTCAGTCTTGAAACTGCGGCTGCACTGCACTGCTGTCTCTACCGCGTTATAGCAGCACTTTAGAGCACGACGCCACTAACATCGCTCTCCATCACGTAGCGGCACTCCAAACCATGACTGGGACTGTTCTCAGTGTGTCAATCTCAGGTCGCGACCGATGTGTCAGAAATCAGAAAAACCTAGGGAGCAGCGCTTGATTTACCCGGTGCTACACTGTACTGTTGTCTCTACTCAATCTTCAATTGCCGCTGCACTGCACTGCTGTCTCTACCGCGTTAACAGCACTCCAGAGCGCCACACCACGTAAAACTGGATTTGCAGAGTCTCCAGCTATTCTTTGGAAGCGTGTTCTTGGCAGAAGTCTAAAAATCTCCGCTCAAAACCAGAAAATAACACCTTCAACCCTAAAAGGAGATGTTGGTTGGGAAACCCCAGATGTGTTGAGGAACCCTAAACCCTAAAAGGAGCTGAACTGAAAGAGCAACCCTGCGAAGAGTCTTGAATTGCCGCTGCACTGCTGTCTCTGCCGCGTTAGCAGCACTCCAGAGCACGACACCACGAACACTGCCCTTTACCGCGTTAGCAACTCAAAAGGTTGCAATTATGTCCTAAATCTCAAAAGGTTGATCCGATGCAATATCTTCCCAAATATGACAGCACGACGCGGCTAGTTGCAAGAACGGCCGCAACAGCACAGAGAGAGGCTTGGATCTCAGGTCACGACTGATCCGTCGCAAAAAAAATCACACCTCAAGAACGGCGCATCATTGAGCTGATGCTGCACTGCGCTGCTGTCTTCAGTCTTCAGATGCACTGCACTGCGCTGCACTGCACTGCTGTCCCTACCATCGTTTACAGCACTCCAGAGCACATCTCAAAAGCTTGATCCGATGCAATTATGTCCTAAATCTCAAAAGGTTGATCCGATGCAATATCTTCCCAAATATGACAGCACGATGCGGCTATTGCAAGAACGGCCGCAACAGCACAGAGAGAGGCTTGGATCTCAGGTCACGACTGATCCGTGGCAAAAAAAATCACACCTCAAGAACGGCGCATTATTGAGCTGATGCTGCACTGCGCTGCTGTCTTCAGTCTTCAGATGCACTGCACTGCGCTGCACTGCACTGCTGTCCCTACCATCGTTTACAGCACTCCAGAGCACATCTCAAAAGCTTGATCCGATGCAATTATGTCCTAAATCTCAAAAGGTTGATCCGATGCAATATCTTCCCAAATATGACAGCACGACGCGGCTACTTGCAAGAACGGCAGCAACAGCACAGAAAGAGGCTTGGATCTCAGGTCACGACTGATCCGTCGCAAAAAAAATCACACCTCAAGAACGGCGCAGTATTTGCTGCACTGCACTACTGTCTTCAGTCGTCAGATGCCGCTGTACTGCACTGCACTGCTGTCTCTACCATCGCTAGCAGTACTCCAGAGCACATCTCAAAAGGTTGATCCGAAGCAATAACTTCCTATTTCTCAAAAGTTTGATTCGATGCAATATCTTCCGAAATCTCAAAAGCTTGATCCGATGCAATATTTTCCTAAATAGGACAGCAGGGCTTGCAAGAACGGCCGCAACAACGCAGAGACAGGCTAGCATCTCAGGGCACGACCGATCCATCGCAGACAAAGCACACCATTGTTGAGCTCATGCTGCCGTGCACTGCTGTCTTCAGTCTTCCCCAAAGCACATTAACAATGTTCTTGCCAAAAGTCTGAACATGTTAGGACAAAGGCATCACGGCTACGACTTGTTACTTGCAAAAGAGCGAATGAAAACTTCACAGGACTACTGCCACAATCTCCGACATCATTTCAGCAAAACAAAGCAGCAATATTTTCAAGGCACGTGTCGCTGCATCTGCTTCTCTTGCAGAAAGCAGCAACAGCACAGGCGTTTAGAGTGCAGAAGAAAAGTTTGGAGTCTGCACAAACTTGTCGACTTCAGAAGAAGTCTGCAGATTATCAGATTATCAAGAGCATCAGCTGCGGGAGTGAGAAACGAGGGAAAAGCTTTCGAAAAAACAGTTTCTAGAAGCTTCCAGCTCCCACTCTCAGAGAACTGGTTGCCTCTTTTCTACAAGAAGCCCTAGCAAGTCTGCCTCGCTCAGCTTTCGTGCCACCGCCCGCGCTTTTTTGAGATTTTTTGTTTCGGCCTTTACCACCTTGCTCAGCTGCTTGGCTTGTACCTGGAGAGGCACACAAGGCTGTACAAGAAAGGGCCTGAGCCTCCTAAGACACACAATGCTGTGAGCCTTCGCAGCTGCCCTGGCAGCTTTTAGGGCAGCAAGGCGTTCGTTCAGCGTTTCCTGCGTAGATACGAGTGAGCAGCTGCTCCTGTGGATGCTTTTTTGGCATGGCTACCTGGGGCAGTTCCACACGGTCGGGCTCTCGTGGAAGCTCAGGTCCCGCAACCTCGGCCTCGGGCGGGGCGCTTTGTTTCAGCAGGGGTGCTGTGAAACAGTGTTGACCTGCCTCGTTGTTTGCCATGCCTTCAGCACGGTGTTTTAAGGCAGGGTTTGCTGGAGCCAAGCAGAGAACTCAGCAAGCGCCATATTAACTGCTTGATGGCCGGAGCCAAAATCAGAGTGCTTGGCAGCAGCTGATACGCTAGGGGCACAAGTCGTTCCTGTACAGTTGCAATTTTTTGCGGCAGCACGTCTTCTCTGCATGCTTCAAGATGTTTAGGAAAGCACCGGCACCTCTCGCCGGGGACCGCCCACCCAGTCAGAAAAAGTCCGGGTCAAGTCGTGCCTTTTAGGCAACAACTGTGCAAATTCATCTGGAGACAAAGCTTGCTCCAGACTGGGAATTCCCTCCGGGAACAGCGAGGCAAGCTTGCCATGCAACCTTTGCTCGGATGTGGGCAGGCCTGCCTGTGCAAAGGCCTTCCAAAAGGGACGATTCGTCCAGTAGTCTGTACACGCTTTGAAAATTGTTCTAAACCAAGTCTCTAGAGACACGAGCCCATTTTGGCAAATTCGCTGCTGGCGGTTTTCGCGCTCCAACCATTTCTTATATGGTCCAAAACACCATAAATCTAAAGGCTGCAGGTAGGACGTCATGCCTGGGGGCACCGGCAGCATGAATAACCCCTGGAGGCGTCCTTCTCTTATGACGCCCGGAGAAAGATGGCACGAGGCCGCGTCGAAGACAACAATGGCCTGATATTGCGGGAAGCGGATGCGAAAGAGCTGACCCAAGAGAGTTAGCAAGGAGACCATATGTCGTGCTGAATTCCATGAGGAATCCTCACGACAGAGAGTCACGGTGGAGGGAACAACGCTTTGCAATTGTTGCTCCAGGGTTCTGCTGAGACGACGCTTGTTACATATTAAAATCTGTGGCAAATGCGCTTGCACACTGAGGACATTTGAGACGAGAGCGACGTGGGTGATGCACCCACGTGCGTATTGAGGTCTAATTTGAACCTCTGCGTGGAATTTCCGCTGTATCAGGCCAGGCGCAGCATGGAACGAATAGGCTAAAGCCGTTTCATCTATATTGATGTAGACTGGCTGCTTCGCGCTGGAGCGTTCCAACCAAGCAGCGTGGCGCCAGAAGAGCACGGCCTGCAGGCAACGAGAAATGGCTTACCGAAATTGAACCCAAATTGGGCCCCAAAACTGGAGCCAGAACGAGGCCTCATTTTGGAGCCTCGTTTTGGGGTTGTAAGTGCTTCCACGAGTTAGCCTTAGAAAGCAGCTCCAAAAAGAGGGTCCAAAAATGAGCTCAAAAAGCATCCCCGCATGGAGTCGAAAGCGATGCGGCCCCTCAATCCTCGGGTCCAAATGCTGCCGCTGGTAAGGAGAAACGCAGATAAGTGCAGAACGATCCACTGCAAGCAGCTACCATAAGCATGCGGTGTTATGCGTGCAGGAAGTCTCGAGAACCCAGCACCCGGCCTTTGCACAAACATCTTCCACTGGCTTGGCCGCTTTCATCTTGCCCAGCCGGAAGGCAAAACTGCGACGGAAGCGACTGCTCCAGGCTCGTTATCCACGGGCATCGGTAGTTGGTACAGAGGACGCACTTTGTTTGCGATATTCTTCTGCAACTTGCTCTGAACTTGGAGCCACGCCAATCGCATTCATATTGCACACGAAGTTTCTGGTTCTTCGTCTGGCAATCCAACGCTGTGCAGTCTTGTAAATGCCCTGCCGCGAACCAGAAGGATCCTGCAGCGATGCTATGTCTTCCAAGCTTGTTTTGAGGTACAGCTCTTCTACATAGCGTTTCTTGTCTTCTGCGTCTGCCTCTTCCATCCTTTCACGCGCAGCCTTCGCGCTGATATACTCGAGAGCCACCGCTGGGTCACCAGTAAGTACATAAATCGCCAATAAGACAAACACTTGACGGGGATTCAAACCCATGTTGGCTTCCCGCTGCTTCTCGGCTCTTCTCGTCCGTGACAACGAAGAAATCTTTCTTCGAAGACATGCAACCTTCCAAAGGAAATCACACGACAGAAAGTAGCAACAATGCACAACTGCTCCCTTTCTATGTCGTCCTACCTACCAAAAGAAACCTCCTGGCGGATCCGCTGCAGCTCCACTGCTGGATTTGCGGCAGCCATGTTTCAAACGCAAAACCGCCTCTGCTCTTAGAAAACGGATGTCGAGTAGCAGCTAGTGGCTGTGGAAAACTGCATGATGCAGCACAAGCAATCAATCGCATAGCCTGTCTGAACACCGCTGGCTTTTACTCTACATGCACGACTTGGCCTCCTAGCACTTGCTGTGGGAATCAAGCCCCATAAAGCGGTCCCAAGCCCTGCGCCAGCAAGACACACTGCCCCGCCCCCCGGAGGGGTGGGTTAGACCAACAGGAAACAAACAGGATCAGCGGTCACGAGCACTACACTTCAAAAGCGGCTGCCTCTGACTTTGACGACTCCGCAGCGGTCACGAGCACTACACTTCAAAAGCGGCTGCCTCTGACTTTGACGACCCCGCCATCCCCTGGGCACTCTCTCTCCCTCTCGCTCACACTCACGCGCACACTCACTCTCACCCTCACTCTCACCCGCACTCGCACTCGCACTCTGACTCTCACTCTCGCTCTCACTGTCACTTTCAGTAATTCTCTCTCTCTCTCTCTCTCTCTCTCTCTCTTTCCCGCCCCTCCCTCCCTCCCTCCCTCGCTCCCTCCCTCCCTCCCTTCCCTCCCTCCCTGTTCCCTCCTTTCCTCCTCCTTCCCTCCTTCCCTCCCTCCCTCCCGCGCTCCCCCAGAAGATACTCACAACCTGCACGTGTCAAACACTTGATACACCATTTTTTTCGAACTCTGCACTGCGGCTGGTGGCTGCGATAACTCTCAATTTCTAGACAATGTTGCCTTTTTTGCATGGAAAGCACTACCGAAATACAACACGGCAGATACGGACGGCCTCAACGTGTCAAACACTTGATACACCATTTTTTTCGAACTCTGCACTGCGGCTGGTGGCTGCGCGAACTCTCAATTTCTAGATAATATTGCATTTTTGCACGGAAAGTACTAGCAAAATACAACACGGCAGATGCGGACGGTCTGAATGTGTCAAACACTTCATACACCATTTTTTTCGAACTCTGCACTGTCCCTGGTGGCTGCGCCACTCTCAGTTTCTTGACAATCTTGCCTTTTTTGCATGGAAAGCACTAGCGGACAACGACACGGCAAATACGGACGGACTGAACGTGTCAAACACTTCATAGACCAGTTTTTTCGAACTCTGCCCGTCGCTGGTGACCCCGCGAACTCTCACTTTCTTGACAAATATTGCATTTTTGCATGGAACATCATGGAAACCACTAGCGAAACACGATACGGCAGATACGGACGGCATCAACGTGTAAACCACTCATTCATTCCCTGACTCCCTCATTCCCTGATTCGCTCCCTCCCTCCCTCCCTCACTCCCTCATTCACTCCCTCCCTCCCTCCCTCACTCCCTCCCTCCCCTCCCGCACTCCAGCCTTCCACCCCTCAGCCAGGCTGGAAGGCTGGAGGGCTGGAAGGTTGGAGGGAGGGCTGGAGGCTGGAGTCCAGCCTTCCAGCCCTCCTCCAACCCTCCAGCCTTCCCTCCAGCCTCCACCTTCCAGCGCTCCAGTTCCAGCCTTCCACCCCTCAGCCCTCCAGCCTTCCAGCCTTCTCCAGCTCCCAACCCTTTCCAGCCCCTCCCTCTGCTTCTCTGCCCTAAAAAGCTGGAGGGCTGGAGACCTGCAGAGCTGGAAGGCTGGAAGGCTGGAGGCTGGAAGGCTGGAGGCTGGAGGGCTGGAAGCCTTTTTTGGAGGCACTGCCCGCCAAAGTGAGAAAATCTGACGTGGTCTTGGAAGCCTTGCACCGAAGTGACAACAGCCGAAGTGACAACAGCAGACGTTGGCACTTTCAACACCTTCTTCGGAAACCCAACGTCATCTTGGGAGGCACTGTCACCCCAAACTGAAAACAGCAGACGTCCTAGCTTGAAACTCTCTGCCTCGGCACTGGCCCCAGAGTGAGAAAATCTGACGTGGTCTTGGAAGCCTTGCACCAAAGTGACAGCAGCAGACGTGGCCCTTTCTTCGCCATAGTCACTCATGCATTAGCAGTCATTAGCAATACAATTTCTGTGTGCAGTAGACGTGCACCGAATTGGAACGCAGCCATGATGCGTCCTCAGGTGACAGCTCATGCAACTCTGCAGTCCAGGTGTTGCTTGTGACGATCATCATCGTGCCATAGACCCAAACCTTGTAAGAGTAGCAATTCGTGTTGGAGCTGGCCAGTTCCAGTGGTTGCACACCACCCTGGAAAAGCTTCTTGTGCCGGAGAACCATGGCACAAGATGCCTCATCAAACACGATCGCGCGATGAACATCATTGTTGAAGTCCCGCAAATTGGGTTCCATGGACGATGCACAATTCAACTCCAGAGTGTGTTCGGGTCCTGCAAGGCTGGAGGCAAAGATCGTCTTGCCGAGCTTCGTGGGTCCGTCCAGCACCAAGAAGCGTCGTCTGAAAGCATCCACCTGGAATTTAGGCAAGAACTCTTGTTCCACTGGTTCCAGATACACCCGAGGACGATGCATGCGGAGCAAGGCTGCCTGTGCTGCAGCCTGGCGTTCCTGCAAGTTGCTCTGCTGGGTCATCTGGACCTGTGATGTGACATTGTCACAATACTGTTTGACGTGCTTTTTGCACTTGAGATAGAGTTCCTTGGCCGATTCCGGAGACAATTTATCCCCTTGCCACATGCTTGTGATCCATTCTGGAGACACTGCATAGGACTTGAACGGTGGTGCATTTGTGGCATGGAGTATGGCACCTGTCTTGAGCGGAGTCAAGTAAAAGTGCCCCTGATCATAGGCTCGTTTGCAAGCCCGTCCGCGGGCGACTGGTGCTGCAAGCGACCTGTACGGCTGCGAGTTGCGAAACTTCAATCCAGGCTCATTTCGAAATGAGATGGGCTTGCCAATGGCATCAAACATAAAATGTATGTGTACCGATGGAATGGGAGGGTTGGCCGCAAGCGAAGCTTCCACATGTAGCTCCATGGCTGCAGTCCAGCGCGTGATAGGTGTGATTGACACCAGCTGCTGCCTGAAGGCCGAGAACTCGTCCCACAATCCTTGCACATAGGGGTGACACTTGAGGCGACTGCATACCTCAGAAATGCCATTGTGACCCTTCGCAACCAGCACCGCCGACATTGCGGCATCGTCCACACGGCTCCACGCCCCTGAATACCGAAACATAGTCCCACTGCCACGGTACGAACTCATGACATCCTCCTCCACCTCATGTGGGCCACGGAGGGGCGTCTCAGATGTCCAAGCCATGATTAGACGGGTGGCTGCTGCATGAAGCCGGGGTGGTACCTGCCCAGACTCCAGCATGGAACTCAGCATCTGACGCTTGTTGGCGGCTGAGGTGAACTCTCGTTTGGCCGCAGCACGTGCATCCTGACCCCCACGTCCATGCTCGGCAAGGTAGGAGGCAACCCACTTGTCTCTCACAAGCGTTCTCACCTGCCCAAGCTCATCACTCGACGGCGCGGCAGGAAGAGGCTGCTTATATAGCAAACGCCGGCGCTTCATTGAAGCAACTTTGGGCCACGCGCCAACGGCAGAACAGATCACTGGATGTCCAAAACTGTGGAAAGGAATGGAAAGGGAACACCAAACCTGTCAGAACCCTTGCGACTTCCACGTTTCTGGTGGAAAACAGAGCGGAAAGGAACGCAAAGGAACCTTCCAGATGGAAATCCCCCTAGTGGGGAAGGCATTCCTTTTTTCCCGCTGTGGGAGAATAGAATTATTATTCTCCCAGAGCAGAAAAAAAAGGAACGCCTCACGGGGCTCACTGTGGCCTTCCAGCTACTAGTGGTCTCCAGTCCTTCGGCCCAGGTGGACGATGGCATGTCTTTTTCTTGGTGGATCCACGCTTGAGCGACCAGAAGAGCGTCCTTTGAGCAATAAAACTGGGGAGACAAAGCGAGCAACATGAGCAGCGCATCCCGAGCAAAATGAAACCAAGGAGGGGGGTAGCGAGCAAAACAGGCATCTCTTTGCATCGTGCGGCGCTTCTACGCTGTGAAGTGTACGTGGTGGGAGCAGGACAATGCCGAAGTGTAAATTGCGTCAACGCCTTCTGCAAGCTACAAAGCAAGGAGCGGCTGGACTTTTGCCCTGTTCAGTCACAAATCCGATGGAAGTCAAGCAAGCCTCGGCAACTGCACTGCCTGCAGTTTTCATTCTGAAAACAAAGCTGCACTGCACGCACGCTCCACAGCACGACACAGCAACATTCAGTCTTCAAACTGCCGCTGCACTGCACTGCTGTCTCTACCGCGTTAAAGCAACACTTCAGAGCACGACGCCACTAACATCGCTCTCTATCACGTAGCAGCACTCCAGACCATGACTTGTTCTGAGTCTGTCAATCTCAGGTCGCGACCGATGCGTCAGAAATCAGAAAAGCCTAGGGAACTGCGCTTGATTTACCTGATGCTACACTGTACTGTTGTCTCTAGTCAGTCTTGAAACTGCGGCTGCACTGCACTGCTGTCTCTACCGCGTTATAGCAGCACTTTAGAGCACGACGCCACTAACCTCGCTCTCCATCACGTAGCGGCACTCCAAACCATGACTGGGACTGTTCTCAGTGTGTCAATCTCAGGTCGCGACCGATGTGTCAGAAATCAGAAAAACCTAGGGAGCAGCGCTTGATTTACCCGGTGCTACACTGTACTGTTGTCTCTACTCAATCTTCAATTGCCACTGCACTGCACTGCTGTCTCTACCGCGTTAACAGCACTCCAGAGCGCCACACCACGTAAAACTGGATTTGCAGAGTCTCCAGCTATTCTTTGGAAGCGTGCTCTTGGCAGAAGTCTAAAAATCTCCGCTCAAAACCAGAAAATAACACCTTCAACCCTAAAAGGAGATGTTGGTTGGAAAACCCCAGATGTGTTGAGGAACCCTAAACCCTAAAAGGAGCTGAACTGAAAGAGCAACCCTGCGAAGAGTCTTGAATTGCCGCTGCACTGCTGTCTCTGCCGCGTTAGCAGCACTCCAGAGCACGACACCACGAACACTGCCCTTTACCGCGTTAGCAACTCAAAAGGTTGAAATTATGTCCTAAATCTCAAAAGGTTGATCCGATGCAATATCTTCCCAAATATGACAGCACGACGCGGCTACTTGCAAGAACGGCCGCAACAGCACAGAGAGAGGCTTGGATCTCAGGTCACGACTGATCCGTCGCAAAAAAAATCACACCTCAAGAACGGCGCATTATTGAGCTGATGCTGCACTGCGCTGCTGTCTTCAGTCTTCAGATGCACTGCACTGCGCTGCACTGCACTGCTGTCCCTAGCATCGTTTACAGCACTCCAGAGCTCATCTCAAAAGCTTGATCCGATGCAATTATGTCCTAAATCTCAAAAGGTTGATCCGATGCAATATCTTCCCAAATATGACAGCACGACGCGGCTACTTGCAAGAACGGCCGCAACAGCACAGAGAGAGGCTTGGATCTCAGGTCACGACTGATCCGTCGCAAAAAAAAATCACACCTCAAGAACGGCGCAGTATTTGCTGCACTGCACTACTGTCTTCAGTCGTCAGATGCCGCTGTACTGCACTGCACTGCTGTCTCTACCATCGCTAGCAGTACTCCAGAGCACATCTCAAAAGGTTGATCCGCAGCAATAACTTCCTATTTCTCAAAAGTTTGATCCGATGCAATATCTTCCGAAATCTCAAAAGCTTGATCCGATGCAATATTTTCCTAAATAGGACAGCAGGGCTTGCAAGAACGGCCGCAACAACGCAGAGACAGGCTAGCATCTCAGGTCACGACCGATCCAGACAAAGCACACCATTGTTGAGCTCATGCTGCCGTGCACTGCTGTCTTCAGTCTTCCCCAAAGCACATTAACAATGTTCTTGCCAAAAGTCTGAACATGTTAGGACAAAGGCATCACGGCTACGACTTGTTATTTGCAAAAGAGCGAATGAAAACTTCACAGGACTACTGCCACAATCTCCGACATCATTTCAGCAAAACAAAGCAGCAATATTTTCAAGGCACGTGTCGCTGCATCTGCTTCTCTTGCAGAAAGCAGCAACAGCACAGGCGTTTAGAGTGCGGAAGAAAAGTTTGGAGTCTGCACAAACTTGTCGACTTCAGAAGAAGTCTGCAGATTATCAAGAGCATCAGCTGCGGGAGTGAGAAACGAGGGAAAAGCTTTCGAAAAAACAGTTTCTAGAAGCTTCCAGCTCCCACTCTCAGAGAACTGGTTGCCTCTTTTCTACAAGAAGCCCTAGCAAGTCTGCCTCGCTCAGCTTTCGTGCCACCGCCCGCGCTTTTTTGAGCTTTTTTGTTTCGGCCTTTACCCCCTTGCTCAGCTGCTTGGCTTGTACCTGGAGAGGCACACAAGGCTGTACAAGAAAGGGCCTGAGCCTCCTAAGACACACAATGCTGTGAGCCTTCGCAGCTGCCCTGGCAGCTTTTAGGGCAGCAAGGCGTTCGTTCAGCGTTTCCTGCGTAGATACGAGTGAGCAGCTGCTCCTGTGGATGCTTGTTTGGCATGGCTACCTGGGGCAGTTCCACACGGTCGGGCTCTCGTGGAAGCTCAGGTCCCGCAACCTCGGCCTCGGGCGGGGCGCTTTGTTTCAGCAGGGGTGCTGTGAAACAGTGTTGACCTGCCTCGTTGTTTGCCATGCCTTCAGCACGGTGTTTTAAGGCAGGGTTTGCTGGAGCCAAGCAGAGAACTCAGCAAGCGCCATATTAACTGCTTGATGGCCGGAGCCAAATCAGAGTGCTTGGCAGCAGCTGATACGCTAGGGGCACAAGTCGTTCCTGTACAGTTGCAATTTTTTGCGGCAGCACGTCTTCTCTGCATGCTTCAAGATGTTTAGGAAAGCACCGGCACCTCTCGCCGGGGACCGCCCACCCAGTCAGAAAAAGTCCGGGTCAAGTCGTGCCTTTTAGGCAACAACTGTGCAAATTCATCTGGAGACAAAGCTTGCTCCAGACTGGGAATTCCCTCCGGGAACAGCGAGGCAAGCTTGCCATGCAACCTTTGCTCGGATGGGGGAAGGCCTGCCTGTGCAAAGGCCTTCCAAAAGGGACGATTCGTCCAGTAGTCTGTACACGCTTTGAAAATTGTTCTAAACCAAGTCTCTAGAGACACGAGCCCATTTTGGCAAATTCGCTGCTGGCGGTTTTCGCGCTCCAACCATTTCTTATATGGTCCAAAACACCATAAATCTAAAGGCTGCAGGTAGGACGTCATGCCTGGGGGCACCGGCAGCATGAATAACCCCTGGAGGCGTCCTTCTCTTATGACGCCCGGAGAAAGATGGCACGAGGCCGCGTCGAAGACAACAATGGCCTGATATTGCGGGACGCGGATGCGAAAGAGCTGACCCAAGAGAGTTAGCAAGGAGACCATATGTCGTGCTGAATTCCATGAGGAATCCTCACGACAGAGAGTCACGGTGGAGGGAACAACGCTTTGCAATTGTTGCTCCAGGGTTCTGCTGAGACGACGCTTGTTACATATTAAAATCTGTGGCAAATGCGCTTGCACACTGAGGACATTTGAGACGAGAGCGACGTGGGTGATGCACCCACGTGCGTCTTGAGGTCTAATTTGAACCTCTGCGTGGAATTTCCGCTGTATCAGGCCAGGCGCAGCATGGAACGAATAGGCGAAAGCCGTTTCATCTATATTGATGTAGACTGGCTGCTTCGCGCTGGAGCGTTCCAACCAAGCAGCGTGGCGCCAGAAGAGCACGGCCTGCAGGCAACGAGAAATGGCTTCCCGAAATTGAACCCAAATTGGGCCCCAAAACTGGAGCCAGAACGAGGCCTCATTTTGGAGCCTCGTTTTGGGGTTGTAAGTGCTTCCACGAGTTAGCCTTAGAAAGAAGCTCCAAAAAGAGGGTCCAA